GGAAAAGTACATCTGGTACTTGTCAATTCATTGGTGGAAATCTTGTTTCTTGGTTCAGTAAGAAACAAAACTCCATTTCTACATCAACAGCAGAAGCAGAGTACATTGCAGCTGGTAGTTGTTGTGCTCAAGTTTTGTGGCTAAAGCAACAACTACTGGACTATGGAGTCAAGACAAAGGAAGTGACAATCTTTTGTGATAATCAAAGTGCCATAGCCATCTCTCAAAATCCAGTGCATCATTCTCGCACTAAGCACATTGATGTCAAGCATCACTTCATCAGAGATCATGTGGAAAAGAAAAATATCAAAATTGAGTATATCTCAACTGAAGAACAACTGGCGGATATCTTCACCAAACCACTAACTGAAGCCAAGTTTTCCGATTTGCTTCACAAAATTGGTCTAATTCAATTAGACTGAGTGTGGTGCACGTGGCAGTTCATTTTCCACGTCTGTCAAAATGATGGGTGGGGACGTGGCCTTGGGAACAGTTAAAAACCCAATCGCCACTAGCCGCATAAATCGCCCACATTAAACCCAATCGTCACTATAATCAGACCTCAACTGCCCACTCAGCACACTCAAATCTCTCATCGCCTTCTTCATGAGAATCTTCTGATAAAATTCTCAAGAACCCTAATTTCTTCAAATCTTCTCAAATTTCTGAGAAAATGAAGGTTGTCGGTGCAAATGTCCACTTCCAGAAGTTAGAAGCCAAGTGCTCATCACCAACATTCTTTCAAAGCTATCTGCAAATGATAGCCGCTCAAGAACTCTCCGAATTTCTTCAAATGGAGATTCGCCTCAAATTCGAGGAAGAAGTTCTGGAATTCTACATAAATGGAGAGGTCAAAACTGCTCATTCAAAGAAGAACCCACAGAGGACGTTTCCAGTCATCAAGTCCACTGTTGGAGGTACAAAAGTGAAGCTTTCGCAAAAGAAATTGGGAGAAAAGCTTCGCCTTCCCAATTTTGGAATTGAAGTTGGGAAATTTCCAGTCAAAAATCTGGACTGGAACATCATTGGAATCTCTGGGCAAGTTCCTTCTGGCCCAGCAAAGAAAGCAGATCTAAACAACGATTACAAGTTGGTTTTGGAACTGGTCATCGCTTGCCTCGAGTGTGGAAGTGGAGGTCATGCCGATGACATCACCCAGGAGAGAGCCTTCATCATCAACTCTCTCATTACCAAAACTAAGGTAAACTGGGCTGCACACTTTTTCAAATCCATTTCAAAACATCTAGGAAAGCACAATC